AAGAAACAAGCGATGTGGCAAATATATTTACCGGCACCGCGTTATATACCGAGGAAAAAGTTTGATATTTTTACAACGAATGAAGTTCATCAGGCTGACCTCTTGTTTCTTCCCCACGATAAGGTAAAACGCAACACGTATAAATACGCTTTAACAGTAGTGGATGTGGCTAGTCGATACAAAGAGGCTGAGCCATTAACCTCGAAAGATTCAACAGAGGTAGCTAATGCACTGAGTCGCATATATAAACGCGGACCACTAAAATGGCCTAAGCTATTTCAAGTAGATCCCGGTCGCGAGTTTATGGGATCGGTAACTAAACTGTTAACAAAGCACGATGTCGAAATCAGGCGTGGTGAAAGAGAGGCCCACCACAGTCAAGCCATCGTTGAAAGATTTAACAGGACATTAGCGGAACGTTTGTTTGGCTATCAGTATGGGATCGAAATGAAATCCGAGCGATTGAGATCAACCGAATGGGTGACACGATTATCAGCCGTTGTATCAGCGCTGAATAATGAAGTAACGAGATTAATAGGGAAGAAACCATCCGATGCGATTAAAATGAAATCCGTGACTTCCGAATCTTCAGCACCGAGGAGAGGCAAAGAACGAAAACTTCCGGATAGAGTAAGGGTAAGATATTTATACCAGCCCGGTGAACTCGAAGGAGGTCTACGTAGCGCAAGCGATCCGATTTGGTCTCTTAAGACGTATAACATTAGTCGATTTGTTACGAAAGAAGGAGAGCCTATTCTTTATTATCTTCAAGATGGACTGGGTAGGGCATTTGTTCGAGAAGAGTTGTTCATAGTTCCCGACGGTACGGTACTACCACCATAACCATAAGCATAGGTAGTTACACCATCCTTATCAATCCATCTCTTTGTATCTAAGGGGGATAATGATGTCTTGTTCATTCTTAATCCATATATCCTATGATTGTAACTTCTTAAAGAGTTCATCTCGTGTTTGAACGTTCTACCATTGAATAATGATTCTTTATACTGTTCGTGTTTGATATGCTTTTTTACAACATACTTCTTAACGCCCTTAGCTTTTCTTATCTCCCCATTATCGGACTTCTTTATAGAATACATCTTAGGTCTTAATCCAACATACTCCGTTATAGGGGTCCCAGCACATTCATCCTTCATCTTACCTAACACCTTTTTATTTACTACACTGTGCAGTGGATTATCTTTTTGGTAATCGCTCGTGTCATACATATCTATTTTTTCTGCCATATCTTTATACACATCCTCGGTTTGTATTTCCATCAACAAAGAATCTGTGTCAGTTTATAACATGCACGTGTATGTGTATGTGTGTGGCTGCTTATACTAGTCCGGACTGATGCCGATTTATAGTGCTAACACACTGAGATACCATGCCGCAGTTTAACATGAATACCCCACTCAGGCACAGTATACTGACTCCGAGTCGACCAGTCCTTGTTTTAGCCCCTTAATGCCGAGCGCCATACAGGGTAACAACAAGTACCATCTTTTAACGTCTTTTGGTATGACGCGGGCGGGGATCGAACCCCGGACCTTCCGCTCTCCGGGCGGAAGCTCTACCATTCTACCACGGAGGCGGTGTGTTAACACATGAACATGGAAAAGCAAACCAGTGGTCGAAACCATGAGCACCGACCCGTGACACTGGGCAAGATGACATCAGTCAGACAGGCCACAGGGCCAGACCACTTATACACATATTACACAACTACAAGCATGCACTTGGGACTTGAGTCCCACAGCTGAATTATATCGTAACCATCACTTTGAACAGCATTTCTGTGCTGCATATGTGCGTAAATTACACACAAAACATCAGCATAAACCAATTAATTTTGAGTTGCTTCACAATGTGCACATATATATCCGAGGGGCGTTCAATAAGTTTTACAACTTCAATGTAAGACCAAGTCGCAGAATATCTTTTGCACTAAGTGTATTGAGGTGAATGGAGATTATATTGAAAAATAAAAATGCAAAAGATATTCTGCGACTTGGTCTTATATTGAAGTTACAAAACTTATTGAACGCCCCTCGTATGTGCATGAAAATTTAATACTCAATAGTATAACATCACTTTGCGAAATTACCAAATGTACCCTCTTTAACTTGCGTACCTGTATTACTTCACGGATCTCTACTTACTGATCAAATGCAGGTATCACTTATGCTTTTTGTTTGTTTGTTATTTAACGCCGCACTCAGCAATAGTCCATCAATATGACGGCGGTCTGTAAATAGTCTGGACCAGACAATTCAGTGATTGACATCATGAGCATCGATCATCGCAGTTGGGATATGATGACATGCACTAACCAGGTCAGCGAGTCTGACCACTCGATCCCGTCAGTCGCCTCTTACGACAAGCATAGTCGCCTTTTACGGCAAGCATGGGTTGCTGAAGATCTATCCTGACTCGGATCTTCACGGGTCTGTCACTTGAACTCTACCTCACTGAATGATACTCAAAACAGCTACACGTCACTTACTGTAACTTAGACATGCATCGCTGTCGTCAGCTTCTGCGATAATATGACACGCCTAGTTGAATCAGGAAATAAATTTGCATGCTAGTAATTGTTATCTGGAGGAATTGAAATGTCATAGTGAGGTACGATCTTACAAATTCACTTATAAGGAAATATCCCTCTTTTAAGAATGCATGTCATTCCCGCATATACTACCATACTCGTGTGGGTTTTAGGTGTGTACATGTCAGAAAGTTAAAAAGGCTGTTACTATTTAGAAACTCGAGAAAAGCCATAGAATGAAAACTATAGGTTTGTTATAGTAGTATTCAGATTAGTATAGATCCTGAACATCAACTGACATTTGAACAGTTTGCATATTGTTGTATTGTTCACGGTGACTTTTTCAGTTCCATCAAGACAATGTAGGACTATCAATTTCTTTTGTAAACACAAACTAGGTCTGCAACAAACTACTAGTATTTGTCTACCAACAATTAAAATTCATCACCGTGAATTTATAATTACCTGTGAATTGACTATTTAATATTCTGAGGCTGGCTGAGGATTATATGTATGTTTATGGAGTGGAGTGAGTATGGTTTTTACGCGTTTTTAGCAATATTCCAGCAATATCACCGCGGGGGACACCACAAATGGGCTTAACACATTGTACCCATGTCGGGAATCGAACCCGGGTCTTCGGCGTGACGAGCGAACGTTTTAACCGCTGGGCTACCCGACCGCGTCGTATATGTTTATGAAAACATACTTACATGAATCATGTCCGTAACACAAACATATTTGTTCCGAACGCAACAGTAGCCATTAGATCTTAGGAAAAGGTTCAAAACATAACCCCATGCATATAAACGTGCGGGGAAGTGCACCCACGCATTTAGTATGCTTAAAATGTCACGTCATATACACAACTTGTACATTATTATCCCAATATCCACTGTTAAAATAAAACCTGATAGCAATTCAATGCAGTGCTTTGATGAAGTCAGGGGTAACAAATAGTCAACGTGCACGGGAAACTTCAATGGTAAAGTGGATCTCGCCATATGTTACTTATAACTTCATTACGTCACTGACGTGGTTGCTGCACACTAACGAGCCAATGGTGAGGATATAACGCTGTTATGTTATGGAACCATTGAAGTAAATGCAATTTTTTGTCAATATGGTATTCTTCCATTTACCCATGAAAGAACAGTTAGGAGCAAAAAATAGGATAAATCTAAACCTAGGCATATAGGATTTCAAGGTAATGAAATCTGTGTCATCTATAAACATCATTTACGATTTTTTCACACGTTAGAAAATACAGGAGAGTAATGGCAGGGTATATGTTCATAGCACCCGTGAACATCCGGGCTAGAGGCAACCCTAGAAGTCTTCAGCAGCCCATGCTTGCCGTAAAAGGCGACTATGCTTGCCGTAAGAGGCGACTAACGGGATCGGGTGGTCAAGCTCGCATGTCATCGTTTCCCAATTGCGTGGATCGGTGCTCATGATGTCAATCACTGGATTGACTGGTCCAGACTCGATTATTTACAGACCGCCGTCATATAGCAGGACTATTGCTGAGTGCGGCGTTAAACAACAAACAAGAAATCATATGTGCCCAATAGACACTTGATTGACCTGCGTTATAAATGCAAATGATATGTACATTTCAAACGTTGGTCATATGCCCTCTGATGACACGTTCATTTCCTAAAACGCATCGATTTGGAAAATACAGTCCCTTCGTGTGATGATTGATCCTTGGTTTGTCAGCGCCATGCCCGTGCCTTTCGGCTTCACCAAATTTCAAATGTCTTGTTCAGAAGGTGTTCTCGGACAGGTTACCGGGACATCTTTCGAACGCACCAGCTTCGCGGAATCGACCGAACGTAACCTACTTCGAGGAATTCGTATGTCTCCTTGGCGGGTAGAATGTAACACGTGACTCCTTGAACGTGGCAGATGAGATTTAGGGCTGATAGGAGCAGGACGCATCGCGAGATGCTCCTACTCAAAACTTGCGTGTTTTCAGAGCCCTACTAGGGTTATACTTCCAAGTGCATACTTCCATACCAGGGAAGTTCAATTTGTAAATAATGTGTTTATTATAAATATCTTGTGGGTTTATTAAAAGGGTTGAATTTCCGTTTTCAGTTATAGTTTTCATTTGAGGGGTTTCTTCTCCTCATGTCTGCTTCAAATAACTTGCACAGCCTTTCCTCCATTAATAAGCTTGCATAATATTGTTCAGAGCGGAGTTAGACAAAACACACAGTCAGACGCATTATTGCATCTTGTGACCCTGCCGGACAGTGGGGTAGCATTGTGGTTGGATTCCAAACATGGGTACAATGTTCGAAGTCCATTTCTGGCGTCCCCTGCCGTGCTATTGCTGGGATATTGCCAAAAGCGGCGTACAACACACATTCTCTCACTCCTGTAAAAATGTCTCATATAACTGTTAGTTTTTTTCATGCACTTTATTCAGAATTTTTACCAGGATGCTAGTCCATGGATACAGTTCACGCTGGATACAAATTCATAGGATGACCGTCCCAGCAGTGCGTCTGTCCATCACACCATAAGATGGAGTACGTGTTTTTGTAGCTTAGTATCAGCTGATGGGTGTGACCTAGAGCTTCGCTTGTGACCATCGTCTTGCGCTCTCCATGTTTCATAGACTCCTGAACGTCGGGGGACAAGAAGATGTCATGGACGTGTGGACCTGGAGGGGTCCTGGTTGCGGCGCCGGTTCTCAGGTGTAGCGTTTTCTGGATAAAACATTGGCGTTTACAAATATAACACCATTCTTGATATTCAAAATGGTACAGTTAAGATATTATCAAAGTTACTGCAAATGAATGTAATTCTTCTTCTAGAAGGACATGGGGTGGCCCAGTCGTCTTAGGCCACGCAATTAGCTGTGCAGAATTGCGACCCTGGGACAGAAACCTATGATAGTGGGTTCGAATCCCGGTCCCACACGGTTATGTTTCCAGGTTTGTCAGCGCCATACCTATCCTCGTGGGTTTCACCAAAGTGGTAAACGTCTGAGACCTGCATCACTTCGGACTTTCCTCCAACATTAAGCTGACGCGGCGTAATATAACTGGAATACTGTTCAAACCGGCGTTAAACCAAACTCATACACTCACGTTTCTTGGAGATTAATATGGGATTTCCTTTTACAAAGCCTGCATGTAAGAGTGAAAAAGTATGGTTTTACTCCAATTTTAGCCAGCGATATCACGTTGAGGTAACACCAACATTGTACCCATGTTGGGAATCGAACCCGGGCCTTTGATATCACGATCGAACGCTTTAACCACAAGGCTACCCTACCGCCACTCAGTGTGAGTGAGATTTGAACATGATTTCAGTTACAGCACGGCTTGTCAGCTTCACGTTGGAGGAAAGCCAGTAAGTCTTTCCACTTATATTTGGTGAAACCCGTCGTGTCGTGTGATTTATCGAGGATCATAGTCAAGATAGCAGATCCTGGTTCTAGTAAGGGACGCTACTCTGCACGATGAATTGCAGCTCCTCGGACGACTGAACGAGCCGAGAACAATAAACGGTATCACGTGGTATTTAAGTTCGTTTTTCATCTAAACGACTCTTTTTTATAACTTATGTTAATGCAAGAATTCAAAACAGCTTACACCATCACCTGTATCCTAAAGCTCCTATATTCTACAACACCTGCATGATGCATTATCGTTGTAAACATTTTTGGCAATATTTGAGGTAATGTTATCTGACCTCAGAGGATTGAGTGCCGTTGCTGGAGTCGGTGAGGGTTGGATGATGATGAAAAAGTCCCTTGTACTTTTGTATGTCCATTAACATGTCCTTGAGAGCGTCAAGCTCCTTCCACACACCAGACCCCTCCATATGGACTGGCACGATGGGGTACCGCATCCTGATTTTCCCTACCCCCGGGATATTGGGAAGGACGATCCTAGTGCCCGAAGCCGCCACCCGCTGCACATTCCCGTGTTTGTCCAGCACTCCAACATTGCTCTTGGTGGTGTCAGAAGGATCCGTGGCCACTTCTTTGCCCGAGAACAACCCAGCAGGCGTGTGGTAGAAGTTGGCATAGCTGGAATCGTTGTATGCCGTCTCGGGCGTTTGGCCTCCCACCCTTTTGGGGTCTTTAGCCTGTGTCCCCCTTTTCCAGAAGTTTATGCCGAATGGGTTCCAGGTGAACATCGGGGTACTATAGATCATCTCAAGGGGTAGGGCGTACGAGTAACGCCGGGTCCACGACTGGCACGTCTAAACATAAAACAGGAACTATAAGTATCTAGACCTTAAAAAGTGAACGTTTTGTTCCGCATAAAACAATATTCCCACCATATTATGACAGGGCACACCAAGAAAAGGATTTCAGCGTTGTGCATAAAACACCTGGGCAAATTCATCCTTAAGATCCGGGGTAGAATAGGCCTTCTAGGCGACTCGCGGGTTCGGATGGTCAGGCTCGCTGACTTTGATGATGCATCGTCATCGTATCCCAATTGCGTGGATCGATGCTCATGATGTCCATCACTGGATTGTCTGGTCCAGACTCGATTATTTACAGACCGCCGTCATATAGCTGGAATATTGCTTTAAACTACAAGCATACAAACATAATCCAAGTCTTTGATAGGCATTTAAAAGTTGGAAGAACCACGACAAGACAAGACAAATATAAGTGGAAAGACTTACTGGCTTTCCTCCAACGTGAAGCTGACAAGCCGTGCTGTAACTGAAATTATGTTCAAAACTCACTCACACTGAGTTGCGGTAGGGTAGCCTTGTGGTTAAAGCGTTCGATCGTGATATCAAAGGCCCGGGTTCGATTCCCAACATGGGTACAATGTTGGTGTTACCTCAACGTGATATCGCTGGCTAAAATCGGAGTAAAACCATACTTTTTCACTCTCTTACATGCAGGCTTTGTAAAAGGAAATCCCATATTAATCTCCAAGAAACGTGAGTGTATGAGTTTGGCTTAACGCCGGTTTGAACAGTATTCCAGTTATATTACGCCGCGTCAGCTTAATGTTGGAGGAAGTCCGAGGTGATGCAGGTCTCAGACGTTTACCACTTTGGTGAAACCCACGAGGATAGGTATGGCGCTGACAAACCTGGAAACATAACCGTGTGGGACCGGGATTCGAACCCACTATCATAGGTTTCTGTCCCAGGGTCGCAATTCTGCACAGCTAATTGCGTGGCCTAAGACGACTGGGCCACCCCATGTCCTTCTAGAAGAAGAATTACATTCATTTGCAGTAACTTTGATAATATCTTAACTGTACCATTTTGAATATCAAGAATGGTGTTATATTTGTAAACGCCAATGTTTTATCCAGAAAACGCTACACCTGAGAACCGGCGCCGCAACCAGGACCCCTCCAGGTCCACACGTCCATGACATCTTCTTGTCCCCCGACGTTCAGGAGTCTATGAAACATGGAGAGCGCAAGACGATGGTCACAAGCGAAGCTCTAGGTCACACCCATCAGCTGATACTAAGCTACAAAAACACGTACTCCATCTTATGGTGTGATGGACAGACGCACTGCTGGGACGGTCATCCTATGAATTTGTATCCAGCGTGAACTGTATCCATGGACTAGCATCCTGGTAAAAATTCTGAATAAAGTGCATGAAAAAAAACTAACAGTTATATGAGACATTTTTACAGGAGTGAGAGAATGTGTGTTGTACGCCGCTTTTGGCAATATCCCAGCAATAGCACGGCAGGGGACGCCAGAAATGGACTTCGAACATTGTACCCATGTTTGGAATCCAACCACAATGCTACCCCACTGTCCGGCAGGGTCACAAGATGCAATAATGCGTCTGACTGTGTGTTTTGTCTAACTCCGCTCTGAACAATATTATGCAAGCTTATTAATGGAGGAAAGGCTGTGCAAGTTATTTGAAGCAGACATGAGGAGAAGAAACCCCTCAAATGAAAACTATAACTGAAAACGGAAATTCAACCCTTTTAATAAACCCACAAGATATTTTATAATAAACACATTATTTACAAATTGAACTTCCCTGGTATGGAAGTATGCACTTGGGAGTATAACCCTAGTAGGGCTCTGAAAACACTCAAGATATGAGTAGGAGCATCTCGCGATGCATCCTGCTCCTATCAGCCCTAAATCTCATCTGCCACGTTCAAGGAGTCACGTGTTACATTCTTCCCGCCAAGGAGACATACGAATTCCTCGAAGTAGGTTACGTTCGGTCGATTCCGCGAAGCTGGTGCGTTCGAAAGATGTCCCGGTAACCTGTCCGAGAACACCTTCTGAACAAGACATTTGAAATTTGGTGAAGCCGAAAGGCACGGGCATGGCGTTGACAAACCAAGGATCAATCATCACACGAAGGGACTGTATTTTCCAAATTGATGCGTTTTAGGAAATGAACGTGTCATCAGAGGGCATATGACCAACGTTTGAAATGTACATATCATTTGCATTTATAACGCAGGTCAATCAAGTGTCTATTGGGCACATATGATTTCTTGTTTGTTGTTTAACGCCGCACTCAGCAATAGTCCTGCTATATGACGGCGGTCTGTAAATAATCGAGTCTGGACCAGACAATCCAGGGATTGACATCATGAGCACCGATCCACGCAATTGGGAAACGATGACATGCGAGCTTGACCACCCGATCCCGTTAGTCGCCTCTTACGGCAAGCATAGTCGCCTTTTACGGCAAGCATGGGCTGCTGAAGACTTCTAGGGTTGCCTCTAGCCCGGATCTTCACGGGTGCTATGAACATATATGACAGAAGTGTGTAAATCCTGCCATGACTCTCCTGTATTTTCTAACGTGTGAAAAAATCGTAAATGGTGTTTATAGATGACACAGATTTCATTTCCTTGAAATCCTGTATGCCTAGGTTTAGATTTATCCTATTTTTCGCTCCTAACTGTTCTTTCATAGGTAAATGGAAGAATACCATATTGACAAAAATTTGCATTTATTTCAATGGTTCCATAATATAACAGCGTTATATCCTCACCATTGGCTCGTTAATGTGCAGCAACCACGTCAGTGACGTAATGAAGTTATAAGTAACATATGGCCAGATCCACTTTACCATTGAAGTTTCCTGTGCACGTTGACTATTTGTTACCCCTGACTTCATCGAAGCACTGCATTGAATTGCTATCAGGTTTTATTTTAACAATGGATATAGGGATATTAATGTACAAGTTGTGTATATGACGTGAAATTTTAAGCATACTAAATGCGTGGGTGCACTCCCCCGCACGTTTATATGCATGGGGTTATGTTTTGAACCTTTTCCTAAGATCTAATGGCTACTGTTGCGTTCGGAACAAATATGTTTGTGTTACGGACATGATTCATGTAAGTATGTTTTCATAAACATATACGACGCGGTCGGGTAGCCCAGTGGTTAAAACGTTCGCTCGTCACGCCGAAGACCCGGGTTCGATTCCCGACATGGGTACAATGTGGACAAATACTAGTAGTTTGTTGCAGACCTAGTTTGTGTTTACAAAAGAAATTCATAGTCTTACATTGTCTTGATGGAACTGAAAAAGTCACCGTGAACAATACAACAATATGCAAACTGTTTAAATGTCAGTTGATGTTCAGGATCTATACTAATCTGAATACTACTATAACAAACCTATAGTTTTCATTCTACGGCTTTTCTCGAGTTTCTAAATAGTAACAGCCTTTTTAACTTTCTGACATGTACACACCTAAAACCCACACGAATATGGTAGTATATGCGGGAATGACATGCATTCTTAAAAGAGGGATATGTCCTTATAAGTGAATTTGTAAGATCGTACCTCACTATGACATTTCAATTCCTCCAGATAACAATTACTAGCATGCAAATTTATTTCCTGATTCAACTAGGCGTGTCATATTATCGCAGAAGCTGACGACAGCGATGCATGTCTAAGTTACAGTAAGTGACGTGTAGCTGTTTTGAGTATCATTCAGTGAGGTAGAGTTCAAGTGACAGACCCGTGAAGATCCGAGTCAGGATAGATCTTCAGCAACCCATTCTTGCCGTAAAAGGCGACTATGCTTGTCGTAAGAGGCGACTGACGGGATCGAGTGGTCAGACTCGCTGACCTGGTTAGTGCATGTCATCGTATCCCAATTGCGATGATCGATGCTCATGATGTCAATCACCGAATTGTCTGGTCCAGACTATTTACAGACCGCCGTCATATTGATGGACTATTGCTGAGTGCGGCGTTAAATAACAAACAAACAAAAAGCATAAGTGATACCTGCATTTGATCAGTAAGTAGAGATCCGTGAAGTAATACAGGTACGCAAGTTAAAAAGGGTACATTTGGTAATTACGCAAAGTGATGTTATACTATTGAGTATTAAATTTTCATGCACATACGAGGGGCGTTCAATAAGTTTTGCAACTTCAATATAAGACCAAGTCGCAGAATATCTTTTGCATTTTTATTTTTCAATATAATCTCCATTCACCTCAATACACTTATTAAAAGTGCAAAAGATATTTTGCGACTTGGTCTTACATTGAAGTTGTAAAACTTATTGAACGCCCCTCGGATATATATGTGCACATTGTGAAGCAACTCAAAATTAATTGGTTTATGCTGACGTTTTGTGTGTAATTTACGCACATATGCAGCACAGAAATGCTGTTCAAATTGATGGGCACGATATAATTCAGCTGTGGGACTCAAGTCCCAAGTGCATGCTTGTAGATGTGTAATATGTGTATAAGTGGTCTGGCCCTGTGGCCTGTCTGACTGATGTCATCTTGCCCAGTGTCACGGGTCGGTGCTCATGGTTTCGACCACTGGTTTGCTTTTCCATGTTCATGTGTTAACAGACCGCCTCCGTGGTAGAATGGTAGAGCTTCCGCCCGGAGAGCGGAAGGTCCGGGGTTCGATCCCCGCCCGCGTCATACCAAAAGACGTTAAAAGATGGTACTTGTTGTTACACTGTATGGCGCTCGGCATTAAGGGGCTAAAACAAGGACTTGTCGACTCGGAGTCAGTATACTGTGCCTGAGTGGGGTATTCATGTTAAACTGCGGCATGGTATCTCAGTGTGTTAGCACTATAAATCGGCATCAGTCCGGACTAGTATAAGCAGCCACACACATACACATACACGTGCATGCACGTCGCTATATAAGTGCCATTATCTTGGACGCGACGTTAAACCCCATTTCACCTCACCTGACCACATGTGTTAACATGCGCCCATGACATCGCCAGAACATTGCTGACACTGCATAATAAAGCACACAAACTCCTTCTCCTTTTTAAACATTTATTTATCTTTATTATTGTGGGTGCTGTAGTACTTAGGACCGTGTCGTTTTAACATATTCAAAAGCATACAACTTCAGTGCTATCTAAAAAATACCACTTACAAGATGCAAATGATCGCAAAAAAATCGACAGATGATTTGAAGACAAGTGGACCATCTCGGTAAATTATTGAATTTATTGCATTTTTCTGTCAGTGAAAAATCTTATACCATATGAACAGTTACCATCTTTGGTAACTTGTATTAGTGTACAAGGTGATAGTAATTGGGATGCTTTTACAAATTTCAGAACATTCGGGGACACGATATGGAGGTAGGCACCCTCAATTTGTGATATTCCTCATGGGTTTGTACACAACAGTTCCTCAGAATCTAGTGTACACGTAGCGGATTGACACGAGTTGAGATGGTACTTTTATCAGGATCTTCACAAAGTGTTCTTTTGGGGAACACGTGGACTGCTTATCTGCACAGGGTATTAACAATAAAAGGTTAAATAACAATAATATTTTTTTTCCTTTTTACTGGGATATTTTGGGGTTATGTTGGCCACAATTGATTGTAGGTCACTCAAAAAAAACATAGTCTATGGATTTTTTGTTTGTTTGTTGTTTAACGCCGCACTAAGCAATATTCCAGCTATGTGACGGCGGTCCAATCCAGTGATTGACGTCTTGAGCATCGGTCCATGCAATTGGGAAACGATCACATGCATCAACCAAGTCAGCGAGCCTGACCATCCGATCCCGTGTGTCGCCTTTTAAGACAAGCATAGTCACCTGTTACGGCAAGTATTCTAAAGACCTATTTTTCACGAGTCCATAGTCTTTGGAGGGTAATAAAAACATACTCCATTTTGGGGAGGAATGGGTAGCCATTATAAACCCAACCCGCTCACTTTAAGAGACTCACCTACAGATGTGTATATAGCAGATAATGTGTGATAATATAGTCTTTTATAGATCTACCTGACACAGTAGGTGAAGTGAGGTGAAATGGGGTTTAACGTCGCGTCCAAGATGATTGTACTTATATAGCGACGTGCATGCACGTGTGTACGTCTGCTTATACTAGTCCGGACTGTTGCCGACTTATAGTGCTAGCCGACTAAGATACCATGCCGCAGTTTAACATGAATACCCCACTCAGGCACAGTATACTGACTCCGAGCCGACCAGTCCTTGTTTTAGCCCATTAATGCCGAGCGCCATACAGGGTAACAACAAGTACCATCTTTTAACGTCTTTTGGTATGACGCGGGCGGGGATCGAACCCCGGACCTTCCGCTCTCCGGGCGGAAGCTCTACCATTCTAATTCTTATTTCACGTCTAATGCTTAATTCCAGTTTTGTCTTGATAATATTCCAAGTTTTATCAGCACCATACCCCTGTTCGCACATTTACACGCCAACAAGAAAACTACCGATCAAAGCGGCCATAAACCAAACTCGCTCAATTATGTTCAGCAAAAATGAATAGAGAATATTATTATTTATACCATGGGTACAGTATAAGAAGCGCGTATAAAGACAAAGAGTTAAGCTCTATACTGAGAACAATCAGACCCGAGGCGATACTGGGTCTCTCATGTTGAATACCAACTTCATCCGGCTACTTGTTCCTTAATTGCTCAGCTTCAGAAGAAAGAAACCACAAAACCTGCTACATACACATATTTAACATGTGAATGTTTCAAACTTTTGTCTACATCTCCAGGTAAACTACAGTTTCGTGGCGCTATTCTTACTATGTGTGTGTGTTTGTACTAGTCCGGACACCGTTTTTTATATTTCAAGCAAGATGCAGGGTAATAACAAGTACCATGTTTTAACGTATTTTGGTATGACGCGGCCGGGGATCGAACCCCGGACCTTCCGCTCCCTGGGCTGACTTCTGTCTTCTTAACCACTGAGGCGGTCTTTGTAAACAGTAAACGTCTATGTGTCTGCGCAGAGTTCACTCCCTCAGTAATTTCAGGATCCTATGATCATGGCTTCAAATCCCCAATTAGCCAATATTGATAAAACATCTCTGCTTGCACGCCATGAAACAAGTAAAAAAATCTTCAAAGCGGAGTTAGACCAAACACACAGTCAGTCGCACTGATGCAATTTCTGACCAAGGTTAAAGCGAGCATTCTCACGTCACAAAGAAGGCCCGGGTTCGAATCCCAACATGGGTACAGTGTGTGAAGCCCATTTCTGGTGTCCCCCGCCGTGGTATTGCTGGAATATTGCTGAAATCGGCGTAAAACCATACTCACCCTGAGAACTACAATATTAGCTATTCCCGTTTCCTATGACGTTAATAGTCGCCAGCAAATACAATCGGATGTACGACGCATTGCTTTATGATCGTGTGAAACCTATTTGTGGCGTCCCGCCGTGATATTGCTGGAATATCACCAAAAGCGGATAAAAAAACATACGCACTCAGTCCTGTATAAATGTCTCCTACACAATGGTTAGTATTTGCATGCACTTTATTCATCACCTCACCAGGAGGCTAGTCTACTGGATACAAAGTGGAAGGATGGCCGTCCCAGCAGACCTGGCTTCCGTCACACTGCATGATGGTGTACGTGTTGCGGTAGCCAATCAGCAGCTGATGGGTGTGACCTAGAGCTTCGCCTGTGAAAATCCTTGTGTGACCTCCAGATTTCAAGGTATCCTGAACGTCGTGGGACAAGAAGACGTCATGGACGTGTGGACCTGGTGGATTCTTGGTTGCGACGCCGGTTCTCAGGTGTAACGTCATCTGGATAATACAATGACGTCATAAATATTACACCATCCGTGATATTCAAACTGTTACAGTTAAGATGTTATTAAAGTTACAGCAAATGACTGTCATTCTTCTTCTAGGAGTGGGGTCACGGGTGGCCCAGTCGTTTAAGGCGCCCTAAATCGCAGGGCAGAGATGCGCCCCTTGGACACACCAGGAACATATGATAGTGGCTTCGAATTCCAGTTCGACACGGTTGTTTATCTAGGTCTGTCTGCTCCACTGCCAGGCATGTGGTTTCATCGAAATGGTAAACGTCTGAGACCTGCATCACTTCGGGCTTTCTACCCACATAAAGCTGATTGGCCATTTTTAACTGTAACACTGTTCAAAGCGGCTTTAAAGCAAACTCACTCACCCATGTTTCTATGAGAGTGATATGCGATTTCTTTTCACACAGCATGAGTTTGATTGAGTCAGCTTCGCGTGGGAGGAAAGCCCGAGGTAAGTCTGGACGTTTACCACTTTCATATTTAGTGGAACCCAGGGTGTCGTGTCGTATTGTGTGCGTTACCAAGGATTAAAGTCAAGGTGCCTGATCCTGGTTCTACTAAGGGACGCAGCTCTGCACAACGAAAGCAGCGACTTGGACGCCTGGACGACCCTTGATGCCTAAACAACATCATATGGTATTTAAGTTCACAATTAAACGACTTTAACTTTTGATAACTTCAGTTGATGCAAGTGAGACCCGTAAATTCAGCCAATGACGGGTCTTCATATTCCATAACACCGGCTCCGTGGTCTAGTGGCAGAGCGTCCGCTGGAGAGCGGAGGGTCCGGGGTTCGATCCCCGCCACAGTCATACCAAAAGACATTAAAAGATGGTACCTCTTGTTATCCTGCCTGGCGCTTGGCATTAAGGGACTAAAACAAGGACTGGTCGGCTCGGGGTCAGTATACTGTGTCTGAGTGGGGTATTCATGTTAAACTGCATCATTGTATCTCAGTGGGCTAGCAATAAAAAATCGTCATTAGCCTACTGAGATACCATGCTTCAGTTTTAACATGAATACCCCACTCAGACAAAGTATACTGACTCCGAGCCGACCAGTCCTTGTTTCACCCCGTTAGTACCGGGTGCCGGGTGCCGGGTGCCGGGCAGGGTATCCATTTAACCTGGAACCACCGACCTTCTGCTCTCCGGGCAGACGCTCTATCCACTACAGCACGGAGGTGGTCCCGGGGTTGATACAAGTGGAGAAGCTACATTAGCATGCACCATCTACACCCCCACCCCCACTTGTATCTACATGCACCTATATTCTACCTCACCTGCATGTAAAAAAAAATGGCAATATTTAATGAAGGTAACGTTTTCTGACCTCAGCGGAGTCAGTGACGTTGCTGGAGCCGGAGAGGTTTGGAGGATTCTCAAAGAGTCCCTTGTATTTTTCCATGTCCATCACCATGTCTTTGAGAGCGTCAAGCTCCTTCCACACCCCAGAACCCTCTCCATGGACAGGCACGATGGGGTACCGCATCCTCAGTGTCCCTACCCCCGGGATATTTGGAAGGAAGATCCTAGTGCCCGAAGCCTCTGCTAGCTGCACCTTCCCGTGTTTGTCCAGCATCCCAACACCGCTCTTGGTGGTGTCAGCAGGATCCCTGGCCACTTCCTTGCCCGTGAAGAATTCAACAGGTGTGTGGTAGAAGGTCTTGAAGCCAGTACCGTTGTATGCCGTGTCGTTCGTCTTGCCTCCCACCCTTTGGATTTCAAAAGCCTGGGATCCTCTTGGCCAGTTCTCCAGATCGTATGGGTTCCAGCTGTATAAGGGGCTCAAGTAGATCACTTCGAGGGGTACGGCGTACGTGTAGCGCCGGGTCCAGGACTGGCACGTCTAAACATACAACGAAAACCGATATTCCCTGGGCCTTAAAAAGTGCATCAGTGAGTTAGATTTACGCCGCTTAAAACAGCACACCCACAGCGAACGTGATTACAACATTGTACCTATGTGGGGGATCGAACCTGGGATTCGGCGCGACAAACGGACGTTGTTACAACCGGACACCCATTTCTACTTCTTAAAAATGTACAAAGTACAAGTCAATTCAGGAAAAACAAAGAATTCGGGTTATGGCGAATTGTCAGTTAGTACTAAACATATTTGTATCCATGTTAAGTATCGTTTAAAATTTAAGAATTGCCAAACCTTGTTTTGTGAGACAGGGTCCAGTGTGCATTGATCCACACTCATGGGGGCAACGCGGGGCTGGGTGGTCTGCGCCACCCACAGGTTCCGGTCGGAGAAACCACGATGCGCGACCTCTTTTGGAGATCCACTTTTCCCCACCTTGTACCACCGGTGGTAGTAACCTAGAGAAATATAGATAATGGCAAGCAATTTAAGATTAGACCACAAGGAGTGCCAAATTAGCTTCCACTGGAAGCGCCCTTACAATCACCTTTACGTACGCATATCGAGTACTCCCGTTGTTACTCCTATGAATAGCAGAAGGTAAGTGAAAGTCAAGTAATATAATACCTTTGCCTTAGTTCATTCATTGCACAGCTTTGCCTAGGAAAACAATATGTTTGTGATGCAGACTCAGTTCCTCTTATTATAGCTAGGCGCCAGCCTTGTTTGTTTATAGTCACATGATACTGCGTTGTGACCACATGTTATTGGCCTGAGGACAGTTTTATTTCAAAATAGGATCCTTCTCGATTGAGACATTATCTGCAAATTGTACTGGAATATGACGTCACAAATCAAATCAAAAGTTATATCACCGTTCCACTTTCAGCGCGGATATTCATATTAACCTGGAAACACCGGTCACTTCAAAGTGTCACTCTGGTCTCTATGACCGTAAGGTAATATATACCCTATATCCGTGCTCATCATAACACCACATTTATTTGAGACAGAATTGTACCGTTATGTAAAGCATGAAATATCATCACAAGTCATCACTAGTCTATTTGACAGTGATTTATAAACACATGCTTATGATATAGTCGGAATCGTGCAATCGACACTGTTTTTAGTAGAGACTGTGGAATGGGTTTTGTCCATTTCTTTCGGTCAAAGTGTTCGCTCTACACACAGAAGATCAGATTAAGTTTCCCAACATGGAAATAATGTGTGATCCATTTTGTGCATAGAGGTAGCCTAGCGGTTAAAGTGTTCGCTCGTCACAAACAAGATCAGGATTCGATATCCAACATGGAAATAATGTGTGATTCCTTTTTTTGCATAGGGGTAGCCTAGCGGTGAAAGTGTTCGCTCGTCACAAACAAGATCAGGATTCGATTCCCAACATTCCATTTTGTGCTAACCCCATCGTAATATTTAAGAAGTGCACGACGAGTGGGAATTGTTTATCGTTCAATAAAACACTGCAAGGAGAATAAACCACGAGGGGCGCAAATGGTTCGCTGAAAACCAGTATTTCCTTATGGGTCCCAATTACAATCTTTGACACTTTCAAAGAGAAGAAATGTGAAAGAAAATATAACTTGAAGCAATAGTAACAGGTCAGGGGAACATACCTGTGTTAAGGGGTGTATCGTCTGTCTTTGAGGCGTCGTACAGTAGCTCGCCGAAGACGTCCTCCGTCAGATTGGCCTGGTAGTTGTCTTTGCCGGGAATTTCACTCATCAAGTCGTCCATGAGCGAGTAGGTCTTCCCGCTGATAGAAGATGTAGAAAGACTGATGCGTACAAACATTCTTAAAAAGTATACAGAGATTTTTAAAGCGGAAGCATAAATCATACTGGCCTTACACTATCACCTTCCCAAGGCAAGGGTGTTTACTGACTATAAAAGTCCAGTTTCCACCCTTGCCGAACTAGGTTGGAATTATGGAGTAATATTTTGGCTGAACTAACGAGTCTCTGCATAGTCCAATCAAAATCGAGTAGCCAAATCGACAACCGTTTCGGAAAGTGACGTGCAGATTTCGGTCGATTGCAGGATTTGCAAAGCATGTGTACCGCTAAATCGGCGTCGACAGATATTTTCCAAATCTTTTCATGTAATTAATCAAGGTACTCAACAGATTTGATGCACTTCGCGAAGTAAGACGCGTTTTATCACAATATAGGTTTGATAATGGATCAGATCGTCTTCAATGGGCGCCGCCATTTTGTTTGAAGCAAGTGCAAGTGATATGAAAAGTGGAATCTGATTGGTCAATAGGAGGGGCATAGAAGGGACATAATTGTAATAGCCCAGAAATTCCAGCCTTTTACAGTCAGTTAACTCCCTTGCCTCGGGAAGATGTGCACTGTTGACCCAAGACATACATTACGTCGTATAGCCTATGGCGTCACAAGTTGTGCCTTTATCCGTGCTACAAGTAGCTGCTCGATGGCTCGTTGGCAGATTTGCACCGGTTTTGTTATTCGGCATTGTACCTTTGCCCTTTGGTATTGCCAAAGAAATCTGACAGGTCATAATATAACTGAAATAGTGTCCAAAGCGGCCTTAAACCAACTCACTAACTCATAATCCGTCACTGCACTGTTCTAATGATAAATCAGGGATTGTAATTATAACATATTATCTGTGTTAATAGTAGCGTTGTGGCCTCTAGCTACATAAACCATATATATTTTTGCTTTGATTTTTATAGTATCCATATGATCATGATAGTAATTCCATTCTAGAGAGGAAATCAATGAAGGGTTATAAAAACAGGCGACATTGTTCTTTCTTTTCTCCAACGTTTTATAAATATGACAAACATGCAACAATAAAAAGTTTCTAAAAAAATATCCAAATATAAAAACAAAATTGGCCGGACAGAAAAATCCTTGAAAGGGCTACTTCCTTTGATTTAGAACGCGAAAGGAGTGAAATCTACCGAAAAGTCAAAACAGTTTACAAGCAAGCTTGTGTAGGCTTTACTACTGTAAGGGAGGGTCGTGAAAGTGAGAACATAAAACAAAATAGGCATAACGTTTTTAGAAAATATATTGGACATTCAAGCGACATGCACTTACTTACCCATCCTCATCGTAGAGAGAAAATCGCCCTGACCGACTTTCACTGAACTCACGCATGGTCTCACCATGAGGAAGTCTTGCAGAGAGGTCATCTACGACATGTAAGTACTTCAAGGGAATGTCTTTCTTCAGTGGATGACACAGAATACGGTAGTTCCACTGGGCGAACTCTGGAGTGCCGTTTACTACTTCCATGATTGCGGTAGGGAGATAGGCGAAGTTCTCATTGACGTTCTTGCTCCCGGAGTAGGATGTGAACCTGACCTTTTCCTGAAGATCAAGCCAGCTGGTTGCGTCGATGGCGTGTCGGTCGCTGCTGAAGGGCTCGGAGAAGTGTTGGGTGTCCATCGTCCATGCTGCTTCCATGTAACACAGGACGGGTTTAAAGTACTTCCTGTAGTCTCGAGTGCTATGGTCCTGGTCATTCCAGGCTCGGAACCATTCTCTCATTTCCGCCACCTGTGTAACACGATAGTGGAATAGATCAAAGTAATATTTCTATTGTCAAAAGAAATCTCCGCTAAACGTAGAGGCAGCTGCACGACTCCGACCACATCAAAAGCAAGTGTGCATGTTGTGTATCAAACAGTGATAATATCAGATCTTTGCTATCCTGCCCCTCTGTGGCACCCGTCACAAACACTTGCAAAGGCAAGGCAAGTGTTGAAACAGACGAGTTCATAGCACATGGCTCACCTCAATCCCGCAGGTCAGCTCGGCCAGCATTGAGAAGAAGCCATATTGGAACTGGTTTCACTAGTTTCACTCGTTCACGTGACTATTACATTACACACCTTTTTTATGCGAAATGTTGCTTGATATCCAGTTGCATACCTTCTTTCTATATTAAACTAACCTTTGCATACCTTATTTCTTCATGGATACTTTTTATACCAATGCGTAAAGCTTTTCTTTATTGGAACTATATGTGGAGGGATGCGGTATGGGTGAAATCAAGAATTATATCACTGCCCCATTGAGGCCCGAAAAACTATTTAGGTAACGAATGGTGGTCATCGGGCAGACCGTTAATATTACTACAATACGCATTATTCTATTAATAGTTCCCAGGATTCCAGGTCAGCAAAGGTTCTAGTACCTCGTGCTTGTCGCCAAAGAGGTTGCAGCGGTCAGGCGCTATGACATGGCTGATTGTGAGTCATCTTACCCCTTCGTTGATGGTTGCTCATATATAATTACCGAGGGTCCTGATGTGAGATCTTAACATGAATACTCGACTCTGACACAATACAGGCACTCGTGAAGAGCAACCTCCTCGTGGTGAGTGCTGGGTAACGCTAATCGCTCTTCCCCCGTGTGGAACCGGGGTAGAATATTTCCACAGCCTCCCATTGCTGGTCGTATGAGGCGACTAAAATGGGCAACCTGTTTGCCGTGGGTTGCGTCCCTGTGTCGGCGGAGGACGGGAGTCTGGTAGTTGAGGGCACTGGTTCCTGGAACTGTGTTCCTTTGCCCAACACACTACTTCGACCCTTACTTCGCCTAGACGGGTGGTAAGATGGGCCCGGTCTTATCAATCGGCTGGTCATGCCAGGCCCTGTGCGTAATATTGTCTATGCACACATGTGTTGTATTTTATTGTTTATTTTGGTCTTGGCCATCCATAACTTGTGTATGTTCTCAATTTTGGATTGTATACATTGCCTAGAGTCTTACGCCAGAAGGCGGTGGCTCATGGGCCAATCTGGTACTTTCGACCTCTGAGTTCTGTATGTCTTCAATTTCTTGCCATGGGCCGAACCAGCCTGACATTTTATTTGATAGACAAATACAGCTATTCATGTTGTTCTTACTGGAGTATAACACCTCTGTATCCCTGATGTTTGCATGTTGGAGATCCGGTGCAGGACAACATCGCTCTTTGTAGCACTCCATGGTGGGTGGGGAGCAGGGGTGCTGAATACATTAATTTCATCATGGCTCACAATATATCTGGTTCAAACCGCAATGACAAGAAGAGACGTCTGGAAGCTGAGATTTTCTCATCTGACGACGATGCTTCTATTTCACAAACTTCAAATTCTTGGGCTCGGTTTATCGTAGTGGAATCACGTAATCAACTACCTTTGAAAATCAATCCCTTCGCTATTTCTAAAGCCATTGAAGGAATCTGTGGTGAGGTGAAGAATGTTTCACGGCTCCGGAGCGGCTCTCTTTTGGTGGAGTGTGCACGGAGACAGCAGGCTATTAATCTTTTAAAATGTACTAGCTTTGCTAACACAGAAGTTGTTATTTCTGAACACAGAACGTTGAATTCGAGTCGGGGGATCATCCGCGACAGAGCTCGTTGCCTGGCAGAAATGTCAGAAGAAGAAATTTTGGAAGAACTTAAAGGACAAAGTGTAACATCTGTGAAACGTTTCAATAGAAAAGATGGTGAAAATTTCGTTCCAACAAATACTTATTTGTTCTCCTTTTCTCTTTCAACAATTCCACAATCTATTAAGGCAGGCTATTTTAACATCGGAGTGGAGGTGTATGTCCCCAATCCGCTCCGATGTTACAAATGTCAGAAGTTTGGGCACGGCTCCAAATCATGTGATCGTCCAACTGTTTGCCACCGTTGTGGTGGAAATCATGATGGTACAGGCTGTACAGCAGACCTGAAATGTACCAATTGTAAGGGTGAACATGTAGCATCATCTAAATCCTGCCCTTTTTGGACACGTGAAAAAGACATTTTGACAATCAAATGTCAAAACAACATCAGTTACTTTGATGCCAAAAAACTCTTTGATAGCCGGACACCTTCATCCAAACAATCTTATGCTGCTGCTGTTGCTGCTGCTGTCTCTCGCCCTTCAACAAGTAGATCTATAGAATGTCAGACGGACTTGACGTGGACACATTCTGAACACCCGCTGCCTCTGACTACATCATGTGACAGTCAAACAACTCATTCTGTCAGCCCAGGTGAAATGTCTCCAGATTCTATCATTGTGACTCAGGTTGTGGCCCCATCTACACCCACTCCTGATATACCAGCTACCAACAAACCATCAACTGAAATGCCCAAAAAACAAAAGAAGAAACAAAACAAGAAAATTTCTACTAAGATCCCTACTCTCACTGAAACTTCTGTAGATGTTCACAATTATTTTGAGCCTCTTGAGATGGATGTCACCCCATCTTCACACCACAGCAGTGGTGACTCCTCTTCACGTTTACGTGAACGATCTCCGGTAGAACCACCATGAATCATTCGAATCTAATTCAATGGAATTGCCGAGGACTTAGGCACAATTTTAACGAACTGCAATTATTATCAACGGATATTTGTCCATCAGCAATTTCTTTACAAGAAACGTACCTTAAAACAACCGACAAATTTGATTTAAGGCAGTATAGTTCGTATCATTCCTTCTCTCCTCCGGGAGATAAAGCTACTGGAGGAGCTTCTATTTTGGTGCGGCGGGGCGCTGTTCACAGTCCTGTTCCGCTTGACACGAATATGCAAGCTGTTGCAGTTAGACTTACACTGCATATTGCCTTCACACTTTGCTCCTTATACATTCCTCCATCCTCAAATCTTCAGCGTAATGATCTACAAAAACTGTACGACCAGCTCCCAAAGCCCTGTCTCATCATGGGTGATCTAAATGGTCATAATCCTTTATGGGGAAGTTCAACCATTAATCAAAAGGGTAAAGTCATTGAGGATTTTGTTTCTGATAATGACCTCTGCATCTTTAACGATGACTCGGACACCTACTTACACCCTGCAACTGGTACGTATTCATCATTAGATCTGTCTTTGACGGATTCAGTTTTGTTGAATGAATTCTCATGGTCCGTCCATGATGACCTATGTGGGAGTGACCATTTCCCCACGGTGCTTAAACCAATTAATCCCGCTGATGATCCACCTTCACCTCGATGGAATTTTGTGAAGGCTGATTGGCTTTTATTTCAATCTTTATGCAAAGATAAATTACTACCTACGTCTTTTCAGAATGTTACTGACCCGATTCAATTGTTCTCAGATCTACTGAATGAAATTGCTGATGAATCAATACCTAAGTCCTCGATCAACCCACGTGTTCGTAAACCGTGGTTTGATGACACTTGCAAACAAGCTAGGAAATGTCGTAAGAAGGCGGAGAAGTACTTCCGTAAACATCCCACTGTCCATAATTTAAATATTGTAAAAATTTCAAATGCCAAGGCAAGACGTCTATTTAAGCAAAATAAACGTCAATCCTGGCGGACTTATGTCTCCAAAATTAACTCTCGTACCCCTATGTCCAAGGTATGGAACATGATTAAAAAGATCAAAGGCAAGGGATCAAATTCTACAGTTCACCATCTGAAGGATGGCGATACTTTGTTAACTGATAAATCTGCCATTGCCAATAGCATTGGTGAAACTTTATCTCATCATTCTTCTTCATCTAATTACGCTCCTGAATTTCAAAAATATCAGCTTCAACAGGAAAAGAAAAAAGTAAATTTTACATCTGATAATGGTGAAGATTACAATGAGGTATTTTCACTACATGAGCTATATACTGCCTTAGGGCAAGCTCATGATACAGCAGCAGGCGCTGATAATATTCATTATCAGCTGCTGAAACACTTGCCCGAATCATGCCTTGAAACTATGTTAAATATATTCGATGATATTTGGACATCTGGGATGTTTCCAGCTTCATGGCATAAAGCCATTGTTATCCCCATTCCCAAACCTGGGCGGGATCATTCTGATCCATCAAATTACCGACCTATCTCTTTAACTAGCTGTGTTTGTAAAACGATGGAACGCATGGTAAATAATCGATTAGTGTGGTACTTGGAAACAAATAATCTTCTTTCCAATATACAATGTGGTTTCCGGAAAAATAGAAGTACTATCGATCATTTAGTGCGTTTAGAATCGTTCATTAAAAATTCCATTGTAAATAGACAACATGCTGTATCGATCTTTTTCGATTTAGAAAAAGCTTACGATACAACATGGAAACATGGTATTTTAAAAGATCTTCATGATTTTGGATTAAGAGGCCGTCTGACTCATTTTATATCCCAGTTTTTAACAGACAGGCAATTTCAAGTCCGAGTGGGTACAACCCTGTCTGATCATTATAATCAGGATCAGGGTGTCCCACAAGGCAGTATTTTGTCTGTCACTTTATTCAGTATAAAAATTAACAGTTTGTCAAAAGTTTTAAATGATTCAGTTGATGGATCACTTTTTGTGGATGATTTTAATCTATCTTGTCGGGGTAAAAATATGCACACTATAGAAAGGCAATTACAATTATGTCTTAATAAAATTAACAAGTGGTGTCTTGAAAACGGGTTTAAATTTTCCAAATCAAAAACTAATTGTATTCATTTCTGCCGAAAATATAAACCGCATAAGGACCCTGAACTATTTCTGAATGGCACCCCTATCAAAGTTGTTAAGGAGGCCAAGTTCTTGGGACTTATTTTTGATAGCCACTTAACTTTCCTTCCACATATTAAATACCTTAAAGCTAAATGCCTGAAGGCACTCGATCTATTAAAAGTTGTTTCTAATTCAAAGTGGGGAGGGGATCAAACAACCCTCTTACACTTGTACAGGTCACTAATTCGTTCCAAACTTGATTATGGCTCCATCATCTATGGTGGAGCCTGCAAAAGTAATTTACAAAAACTAGATACGATACATCATCAGGGTCTGAGGCTTTGTCTTGGAGCTTTTAGAACGTCTCCAATTCACAGTCTCTATATAGAAGCAGATGAGCCTTCTCTCAAACAACGCCGTCTAAAATTATCTTTACAATATGTCACTAAATTATATTCTAATCAGTCCAATCCAGCTTTTAATTGCGTCTTCAATCCTCTTTACCAAGATATTTACAATAAAAAGTCATCTCTTGTTCCACCACTCGGAATCAGAATCCAGTCTGCCTTGTTTGCTTCCAATATTAAACTGCAAGATATAGCTCCTACTCAACTGTTTTCAACACCTCCTTGGCAAATGGTACGGCCAGAGGTTGACCTTACATTAACAAAATTAAAGAAATCAGATACTAACCAATTAATTTACCAACAAGAATACCACCAACTTAGAAACAATTATGACACTTATAAATCTATATTTACAGATGGATCCAAGGATGGTGGCGCAGTTGCTAGTGCCACTGTCATTGGATCCAGAACAATATCTTCACGTTTACCTGATAACAGTTCCATATTCACTGCAGAAGCAAACGCCATTTTTACAGCACTTAAATATGTCAGTCGTCAATCTAAACATAAAGAATTCATTATTTTTTCTGATTCACTTTCATGCCTTCAGGCGATTAAAAATATGTCACCCAAACATCCACTTTTAATCCAGATTCTCGAATTAATTAATAATCTTGCGACTGGCCAGTACGACATCGTCTTTTGTTGGTTACCTAGCCACGTTGGAATTATTGGTAACACAATGGCCGATGCTGCTGCTAAGGCAGCACTCAACAAATCTGTGACACCACTTCTGATCCCATACACTGATTTTAAACCCATGATTCGATCTTACATCCGAGATCTTATGCAACAGAAGTGGGACGCCCAAGTAGGTATCAATAAATTACATGAAATTAAACCAAATATCGGTTACACCTACTTGGGCTGTCAGTCCAGATTTGAAGAGGTCATTATGCGACGATGTCGTATTGGCCATTCAAGATATACACATGAGTATCTTTTAAATGGTGAGGATCCTCCGTTTTGCATCCCTTGTGATGAAAGAATCACGGTCAAGCATGTCCTGCTTGACTGTATTGATTTTTCCATCACAAGGGATAAATATTTCAGTGTCAAAACAGTTAAGGACCTTTTTAATGATGTTAATTCTCATTTAATATTACGTTTTTTAAAAGAAATAGAACTTGTACATAAATTTTGACGTGCTTAATGTATTATTTTATAAATTGGTAGTGCTAATAAATAACTTAGATTGTGAGTGGCTGTACCCTCGAGGGGGGTTGAAGTAGCGTAAAATTATTGTCCCCCTAAGAGGGTATGTAAGTCCCAAACCATTCGTAGTATTTTTATGCATACCAGACTTTTAAATCGTAGTATATTTGTTAGTTTTATTCAATGGCTAAACTTGCATATAATCGCCAGTGACTGAAGGGATGGTGTAAATCCTGCCAGGGTCCATGCAGGAAGCAAAGGTACCGTAAGTCCCCATGGTCCCTGGTGTGGTGATCTCCCTTTAGTTACTGACGATCTCTAGCCCATTTTTATATTGTTTTGTTCCTTAATACTTAATTCTTTTAATTGTTCCGCAACTAGTTTTAAAATCTTATCTGTGATATTCTAGTTCTCATACTGTCCTTCGATGACAGATTTTTATAAAGTTTAAATATATGTATAATTCATGTCTAATTTCTCGTCACGATATGGCTGAAATATTGCCGATGTGACGTAAAGCATTACATCACTCACTGACACAATACATTGACTCCTAGATGACCATTCATTCATTCATTCATTCATTCATTCATTCATTCATTCATTCATTCAGAGAAAACATGAAAAACAATTATTTTGCTCCATTTGAAAATAAAATAGGGCAAACGTTTCAATCACTGCAGTTTGTAAGCTGGCTTCAGTGTGTCAATATATAATGAAGAGGATTCAATGAAAATTAAATAAAAGATAATATACTCCGTTAACAATGTCAAATAAGTTAATATTCTGAAGTCACATACCTGTTCTACGACTGTTTTCTGGGCCGTCACTTCCGGTGGTACACCAGGGAACGGAATGTCCTTCATGGCGTGAAACATTGAAGAATTCGTGCTTGGCATGCGCAGTTTGTAGTCGTTGTGCCTCGTTCTGAAGTCAACGCCGTTGATGACCATGTTTACTTCGCCCATTCCAACGGTGCGATCATAGTTGGCATGGTTGTGGATAGAGCACACACCCCTTTAAGGAGAGACACACACTCCTTAAGTATCAAGAATTGACTTCAATATATTAACCGTTCACGGGGGTGTGAGGGTAAACACCAGTATGTCCAGCTGCGAAAATACGCTTAGCCTAGTGGATTTAAGTAAAAGCGTGAAGACCAGTTTTCACTATTATACATCCAAGTCAGTTCTTATAAATAAATAAGTTTACAAAAATAACTGCTTATTCAATCATTGGCTTGGTCAGCCATTCACATACTATTGAATCATTGGAAGTTGGAATCCCTTTATTCCTTAAGATGGGGCGAGCAGTACTTGTATTACCTGTGTCTCTTCCGTAAATAACAAAGGGTCAAAAGGGGATCCGGAGGCTCTTCCAATGTAGACAGATCCTATTTGACGTTAATGTACAATTGGAATCCTCTTTCTCATTTTGAACGTTCTCGAGATCTATACGATCGGAGTGAGTAAGTGAGTGGCCTCCTACCGTCATCGCATAATCTGACCTGACTGACCTACCTGAAGGTGTACGTCTCAGAATAATAGGGTGTCGTGCCGTCATGGCACTATCTTTCTGACTGACAAACCTGAAGGTGTTTCTTAGAACAATAGGGTATTGTACCATCATGGCACTTTCTTTCTCATTGACCCGACTGATGGTGCGTCTCAGCATGATAGGGCCTCGTACCGTCATCACACTACCTTTCTCACTGACCTACCATGAAGGTGTGTCTCAGCATAATAAGGTCTTGTACCATCGTGGCACATCTTTCTGACTGACCTACCATGAAGGTCTGTCTCAGCATAATAAGGTCTCGTACCATCGTGGCAAAATCTTTCTGACTGACCTACCATGAAGGTATGTCTCAGCATAATAAGGTCTTGTACCATCGTGGCACCACCTTTCTGACTGATCTACAATGAAGGTGTGTCTCACCATAATAAGGTCTTGTACCATCGTGGCACCATCTTTCTGACTGACCTACCATGAAGGTGTGTCTCAGCATAATAAGGTCTTGTACCACCGTGGCACTATCTTTCTGACTGACCTACCATGAAGATGTGTCTCAGCATAATAAGGTCTCGTACCATCGTGGCACCATCTTTCTGACTGATCTACCATGAAGGTGTGTCTCACCATAATAAGGTCTTGTACCATCGTGGCACTATCTTTCTGACTGATCTACCATGAAGGTGTGTCTCACCATAATAAGGTCTTGTACCATCGTGGCACTATCTTTCTGACTGACCTACCATGAAGATGTGTCTCAGCATAATAAGGTCTTGTACCATCGTGGCACCATCTTTCTGACTGACCTACCATGAAGGTATGTCTCAGCATGATAAGTTCTTGTACCATCGTGGCACTATCTTTCTGACTGACCTACCATGAAGATGTGTCTCAGCATAATAAGGTCTTGTACCATCGTGGCACCATCTTTCTGACTGACCCACCTGAAGGTGTGCGTCTCAGAATAATAGGGTCTTGAGCCGTCATGGTATTGTCTGATCTGTTTGACCCCAGACTGCCCGTCAGATCGGATTCTTTCCTCCACGTACAACTGCTGCATCATCATCTGGCGCATGATCTCCTCCATCCGGACGTGGAAGTTATCAATCCTGCCCTGAAGGTCGACATGTGGGAAGGGTGTGGTGGTGGTGTGGCGCACATTCCCACACGCGTACCCAATCAAGACCAACAAGGCGAAACTGGCGTAGCGGATCTGGAAACATGGAACATGACTTTGTAATTTCCTCACACAATGCACTTAGCCTTCATATTTAATCTCATTCAAATCAGATCCATAGAAGGTCGTATCAGGTGAACTTTCATCGACAATCACCATTTCGACATTTTTTTAACCACATAGATTCGGAAATTTACGAAAGAAAACCCACATAGAAGACAACTATTCCTTCGATGGTACTCCCTAAAGGGTGCCATGGCGCCCAGAAACGACAGGATGTATAAAATATCCAAAACAATATAAAGGGACGGTAGACTTTCTACTTTCGGATTAGTATTTTGCTTCGTTTTCAGGATACATATATTAAATCGGATGTACTAGTTTGAATGTTTCGCTCACTCGTACCGAGACTCCAAACGGAGTGAGTAAGTATGGTTTTACGCCGCTTTCAGCAATATTCAAGCAATATCATGGCGGGGGACACCAGAAATGGGCTTCACACATTGTACCCATGTCGGGAATCGAACCCGAGTCGTCGGCGTGACGAGCGAACGCTTTAACCACCAGGCTACTCGACCGCCCCGACTTACAATGGAGGTAACCTCAGATATTGAAGCACGGAGGTGTCGTATCGGAGTAAAAGATCTGATTTTAATGAGTTTGCCTATGTTTTTTCTCCTTCAAGAACAACCAGTGAACCATCAGAGAAGCATCTGAGTACATGTAATTAATAATGATATTTTAATAAACAATTAGTTGTGGTCATCGCATTGTTTTGGTACATGTTGCTATTCTGGACGTTTTGAAGTTTGCGTCGCCCTGGTTGATTATCTTTGGTTTGTCACTGGTACTATGATCGCAGTCAACTTGTACAACCTGCGCTACTTTAGGATTTCACCCACATTAATCAGACACGACTTGAGTCTTGGTTTCTCTGGAATACATGTAGCGTCTTTCGGTTTCTTCCAAGCGGTAAAATACAAGTACAGTAAACTACGGTTATAACGAACTCAAAGGGACCACTAATTTCAATTTGTTACAACCGTAGTTCATTATAAGCATAAGTACAACATATATACACAAGAAGGACGGGACCAAGAAACAGTTCGTTTTATCCGGAAAATCGGTATAAGCGTGTTCGTTATAAACGTAGTTTACTGTACTCGTACTTGAAGGCAAGTCTCTCCGGAAGTGAATCTGCATTTGTCTTAAGGTCACGACGCATGCGCTTTGCGGGAGCATGTGAAGAGCAGTGCAGATGTGGATTTGGATTTATTAGGAAAACAGTATGTGACAGCCCGTAGGTCTGTGTAACATGCCAATATCAAAATTGTTTACACGGAGCACCACAGAGATACGGTTCCCGCAGCTACATCAACTGACTACATGAACTTGCATCACTTTAGCCGTTCCTCCCATTACGCTGACGCTTAGTGATATAACTGCAATACTATTCAAAGTCACGTCAAACTCAACTCACTCACTCACTCTTGTCGGGTAAAAGAGTAGTTTAAGCGTCAACTCGTCACCCAGATGATCGGGGTTCGAATCCCATATGAGTATACAATGTTTGGCCGCCTGTACTTACCATAGTTGAATCGCTGTGCCAACACCTCTAGCAAAACTGTACGGTCTTATATAGCGTTCTTCTATCTAAAGGCGCCCATTTGAGAGATAAACAGCAGTTGTTTTTACATTCCTACCCGGTCTGTATATATTATCGCCGTTAATAGCACCTGCAAGACTCACAACTCTTTACGCTTCAGGTTATCAAATGAGTTATCATTTTTCGATAGTGAATAGAAAATGGTTCTATTTTGGGGCTTCTAAATCGCATACCTTATCTTACCAGATATACAACTGGTGATAGATTACTAAAACATGACAAACATTAGCATATATATTTAAATTCTTATCGCAGTATTTCGAAATTAGTGTTGTGGTCGTGTGTGAGTTTAAACATTTTGAAATTCCTGAGATTCTTAAATGTATATACTCTTCAACAAAGGGGCGTTCGCTCGTCACACCGAAGACTCGGGTTCGATTCCCGACATGGGTACAATGTGTGAAGCCCATTTCTGGTGTCCCCCGCCATGATATTGCTGGAATATTGCTAAAAGCGGCGTAGACCATACTCACTCACTCTTCAACAACACAAAACAAATTAAAGGAAGTCAGCGAGTGATACCCAAAGGCTGGAATATCTAAAGTAACACGTGGCCTATATACGTCACAATGGAAATCCCGTTCTGCACAGGTCACCATAGTTATAACTAACAGTTTGGACATATGTGTAGAAAATACAAGTGATGCTAAACGTGGCACGATGAGGTAAGTCTCACTGTGATATTAACTAGCGCTCACTGGCTACCCGTAATACACTTTACTCTCAAGAAGTTCATTATGATATCCACTCTAGGAACCTTTAGTCAAGGGGTAGTCCATTAGCATAATCGTTGAGTGGCCATACTCACGAGCTAAAAGAAAAAGGCTAAAAGTTGAAAATGATTTGACGCTACAGGAGAACGACAGTGCGCTCCTGAGAGTGAGGTCAGTACTGTTTCCGATGGTGTATGGGACAGTGGTCAAGTTAAACTGTTACTCTGTAACAGATACATATTTCTGTCACAATCGGAGACAGGAGTGTCTCGCAGTGTCCTTAGTTTTGCAAAACAACCTTATACTTGGCCGGCGCTCATGTTCCGTAAATTCTGACTGCAATCTTATGACCACAGATTGGCTGTATGGGTGTGTGGCTGCTTTTACTAGTCCGGACTAATGTTGGTTTTAAAGTGCTGGCGCACTGAGATACCATGCCACCGTCTTCACATAACTACGCTTCTGAGACACAATCTACCCGACTAGGACACATGTAGTATAGTCCGAGCCGACCAGTCCTTGTTTAAACCCACTAACCGAGCGCCAGGCAGCGCAGTGGATTAAGCCTCAGCTTGGATAGCGAAAACTTGATTGCTCGATCCCCGTCCGCTTCATACCAGTAGAGGTTAAAAGATTTGTTGTCACCCTGGCTGGCGCTTGACTTTAAGAGTGAATGAGTATGGTTTTACGCCGTTTTTTTTCAATATTACGGCGGGGGACACAATGGGCTTCACACATTGTACCCATGTCGGGAATCGAACCCGGGTCTTCGGCATGACGAGCGAACGCTTTAACCACTAGGCTACCCGACCGCCCAATTGACATTAAGAGGTGAGCTAGGTGTCAGTGCACTGTGTCTGAGTGGGGTATTCATGATAAAATCTTACCTTTGGACCCGCGTTAATATTACACTTGAAATCATCCGCCATTTCAATATTAAAGTGCTAAATGAAAGTTATATATATAGATCAACCTTTTCGGGTGATATCATTGCAGACATATAGCGATGTGAATGCACGTGTGTGTGTGCGCGCACACTAAGATACCATGCCACAGTTTTCACATAAATACCCCACTCAGACACAGTATACCCCACTCAGACACAGTATACCCCACTCAGACACAGTATACCCCACTCAGACACAGTATACCCTCTAGGACACAGTATACCCCACTCAGACACAGTATACCCTCTAGGACACAGTGTACAACCGTCTCAGTCGAACAGTCCTTGTTTAATCCCATAAACCGATCTAGGCTAAGCGGAGTTTCATACCGGCTTTTACCTTCACACCTCCATAAACGATAAATATATTGAAGTCAATTCTTGATACTAAAGGAGTGTGTGTGTCTCCTTAAAGGGGTGTGTGCTCTATCCACAACCATGCCAACTATGATCGCACAGTTGGAATGGGCGAAGTAAAACATGGTCATCAACGGCGTTGACTTCCGAACGAGGCACAACGACAAACTGCGCATGCCCAGCACGAATGTTTCACGCCACTGTGGACATTCCGTACCACCGGAAGTGACAGCCAAGAAAACGCCTCCTGAACAGGTGACTTCAGAATATTTACTTATTTGACATTGTTTACGTGGTATTCTATCCTTCATTTAATTTTCATTAAATCCTCTTCGTTATATATGACATGCTGAAGCCAGCTTACTGCAGTGATTGCAAAGCTTGCCCAATTGTTATTTCCACATGAAGCAAAATCATTGTTATTTCATTTTTTCTATGAATGTGTTTATGTGTGTGTGTGTGTGTGTGTGTGTGTGTGTGTGTGTGTGTGTGTGTGTGTGTGTGTGTGTGTGTGTGTGTGTGTGTGTGTGCGTTTGTCTGCGTGTGTCTGCGTGTGTGCTATATTATTCTGCATTCGGATATACCCGATTACATTCGTTTTCTGGATAAGTGCAAATCAGATATGATCGTCCAAATGCTTCACCTCGACTCGACCAAATCGCTGTGTAAAGTTGCGTCCCTTGGGTATGTTATATGTGAACTAGCCTGTCTGGACTTATGTCGATCTTTTAATGCTAGCCCACTGTGATACAAAAGTTTAACATGACACCACTCAGACACAGTATACTGACTCCGAACCGGCCAGTCCTTGGCACGGTAACAACACAAGTACATCTTATAACGTATTTTGGTTTGACGTGGCCGGGGATCGAACCCCCGATCTTCCGCTCTCCGGGTAGACGCTCTACCACTGGACCACGCAGGCGGTCTCCAGTGAGTGTTCAATTTATCAGAATACACTCGGATACTGATTATTTTGCTGAGAGTGAGTTAGTTGGGTTTAACGCCGCTTTGAACAGTACTCCAGTTATATCAGGCATGTCAGCTTAATGTCGGAGGAAACAGCTGCGATGACATCAGCTCCAACACCAGTGACGACATCACCTCCGACGCCAGTGGTGACATCAACACCGACGCCTGTAATGACATTGGCTTCGACGCCAGTGAAGACATGCCCTTCGACGTCTGTGATAACAAACATTTATTCTACGACTGCAAAGATGAAAGAAATAAACATACTTTTACTCCCTCTCAGGGGGACAAGAATTTTACAGTACTTCAACCACCATTGAGGATACAGCCACACTAACAATCTCAGTTACAAGTTACACACTACTGATACTAAAAAATGGTAAATATGTACATAAATTCAATATTTATCAATCAGTTCAATTTCATTTAAGAACCTAATTATTAAATGAGGTGGAACATTATTACAAAGATCCATTAATGATGTTGCCCTGAAATATTTATCCATTTTGATGGAAAATTCAACACAGTCAAGCAGGACATGCTTGACCGTGACTCTCTAATCACAAGGGATACAAAACGGAGGATCCACACCTTTCAGTAAATACTCATGTCTATATCTCGAATAGCCAATAGGACATCGTCTGAAAATGATCTCTTCAAATCCAAGTGTAACCGATTGTTGGTTTTATTTGGTGCAATTTGTTAATATCTACTTGGGTGTGCCACTTCTTTTGCATTAGATCTCTGATGCAACATGTAATTACAGGTTTGTAATCGCTGTTGAATTAGAAGTGGTGTCACAGATTTGGTGAGTGCTGCTTTAGCAGCAGCAGCCATTGAGTTACCAATGATTCCAACATGGTTTGGCAGCCAACAAAAGACGATGGTTTTTTTAATTCTAATATTCCATGTAAAAGTGGTTGTTGATAGGAAAGAGAATCAGAAAATTGTGAACTGCTTATTTTTAGAATGAGTATTTACATACTTTAGAGCTGTTATAAAGGCGTTTGATTCTGACTTGTCATTTGGTAATAATGTTTTTGATCCAATTAAAGTGGCCCTTGCAACCACATCACCATCCTTGGATCCATTTGTAAATATAGATCTGTAAGTATTGTAGGTGTTTTGTAAGTGATTGTATTCTTTCTGATATACTCGTATTAGTTGATTAGGGTCTGGTTCTTTAATTTTGTTGATGAAAAATCTACCTGTGGCTTCACCAGATGCCACGTAGGAAACGACAGAAGTTGGGTCGGAGATATGTTATTGCAGCAGACATTTCAGGTTTTACTCTTATGCCCGGGGCTGAATAAGGGATTGTTTCTTATGATACAGATCCTCATAAGCTGGATTACATTGATTTGTGGTGTATTGTAATGATTGTTAGAGGGATGGCTCATCAGCCTCCACAGGCTATTGACAGGAGATGTTCTGAAGGCACCAAGGCAAAGCTTCAGGTTTTGATGATGAACGGTATCCACTATTTTTAAATACTTTTATAGGCTCCACCATAAACGCTTGAGCCGTAATCAAGTTTAGAGCGGATCAGTGTTCTTATTGTTTTTATATCCACACTCCACTTGGAATTGGAGACAATATTTATTCAATCAAAGGCCTTCAGACATTTGTTCATTAAGTATCTAATGTGGATCAGAAAGGTCCAATCATGATAAAACTGTTATGCCTACAAATTTAAGCTTCTTTTACAAATATAATTGGGGTGTCAATAACATTAGTTCTGGGTTTTTGTGAGGTTTATATTTTCAACAAAATTGAATATAGTTTGTATTAGAGGTTGAGAATTTAAAATCATTTATCCTTTAACGTCTAAAGACCATTTATGGATTTTTTTTTAAACATAGCTGCAGTTGCCTTTCAATAGTATTCATGTTTTTGCTGTTGATGATTCTGGTTCTTTGTTTCACGTGAAGGCTTGTTGATTGTAGATCCTCTGTCTGTGATGCTGATGTTGCTTATATTGTATCATCTAGAGATGTTTGAGCTGTTATATCTACTAGCATCTGCTGATAACGAAACCAAGAGATGGTTGTTTTACATCCCGTGGATA